TAAAAATGTCCACAAGGAAAGGGAACTCCCAGCTGTGTACTCACTCGCGAAGTTCGCGGAAGTATGCAGGAAAACGGTCCTTCAACCCAGAGTTCTTAGTCTAACTAGGAAACCTTGTTCATTAGAAACGTCGAAATCAGGTTTCTAGACTTGGTCATATTAACAGAATTCGTAGTGAATTTGATTAGGTCCAAAGAGAGAAATTAAGACTTAAAGAGGTGTACGGGCTTGTTAAGCAGGAACTATAAAGAAATGATTCTATTTGCGTACTGCACATTCATCGTGTAAGCTACTGGCAGAACCAAACTGTCAATTTCCTTTGAAGGTGTCACCTCTTAAGAGAAATTAAAGGAGCAAAGTTTTTCGTGGGCAGTTGTGGAATTACTACTGTGTATAAATACCTTGTATAGAAAGAAGTTTTCATAGGCAATTGTAGAGTTAGTGGCGTGGATAAGTATTCTAAGGGGATGTCGGTAATGGAAATCAAATTAATTTGAAGTCAAAGCATGAAAGATCGGTCGAGGTGACCGAAATACCAAAGAGGTCACTCCAAAGAAATATATCGTGGTGAGGGGGTTTGAGTATGCTAAGGACCCTGAGAGCTATACCAGCGGCAGCGTAGCTACTGGCAGGGCCTCCCTTGCTGGACAGGTCAAAGGTTGGGCATCAGACGAAGAGAGACACCAAAAACCAAAAACTGATGCCGGAAGCAGCGTCATCAGCAGCGACTTGAAGCACAGAACAAATGATGCTCGAGATGGTTCAAGTTCGTATAGCAACAGGCGTGACCAGAGTGGTTTGAACGGCTGCTGTACTGCGATGTGGAAAGCAAATGGAAAAACTACCACATTATCACTTTTCCTGGATAGTCTCTTTCCAAAAACAGAAGATCGCATTAAGTGGAGGAACTGTTTTGGAAGAGATTGTGGACCTGTCGTCTGACAGATTACTGATGAATGAATATTGTTCAATCTTTTACATGAACTTCATTTGCAACGCCCCACAAAGAGGTATATATAAAATTGTTAAAGAAAACAGTTGCCAATTTCACTGAATCTGTAATTTATCGAGCAGCGAATGAATTCTTTCGTACGTCACACGTAGACAAAAATATTTACAAAAAATTATATATACGGTACCATATCAAACAAAGCAATATACTCCAAATTAAATATTTAAAAATCACGGTCTTCTGGGATAAGATGTCATGTAGCTTGGTTTATAGACACCAACGTTTCGGAGGAACTTGTTGCCTCCAGCTACAGGACAGAAAATTTTGTTTTACTTCACGAAAACTTCTTCGCGCTTTTGAGCTTCGATGGAAGAAGAAGCAGAAATGGCAGCAAATTTTCATGGGCGATCACAACGTCAGGACACAAGTTCAAGAACTGAATTTTCCTGTCACTGAAATTTCCCGATTCGAAAGCATCTACTTGTTCAATTTGTGTGGGGTTAAACGCGACGTAAAGGTGATGTGTAATGGGTCGCTGTCAGATTCGCCTTGCGGCGTGGTGACCTTGAAGAAAGGCAAACACTGTTGTCGGAAACAACGCAGCCTATGAAGTAAAGTAGCTGAAGGGAAACTATGGAAAAATATTTTCACTGAACAGAACCCTCCAAAAGTGCATTCATTCATTAACAAGAAGTTCAGACATTTCTTTCATAATTTTAGGATACGAGTATTGTAAGAACTCTAATGAAAAGTAGCAATTCGTATACCGACCGTTAATGCAAATCATGTCCACAATATAGGGAACTTGCCTTCCTGCCTGCAGTCTTAAAAGCATAAAGTAAAGTAAGTAAGTAGAAGTAAAGATACTCATTTCTGTTAGAAGCTGAGTCGACCCCAGGGCCATTCATTCATTAATTCATTATTAGAGGGGGTGGGTTTCCCCATGCACCGCGACCAGTTTTTGATCTATTGTACGTCCCCATTTGATATTCTACCAGTCGTCATACCCTTCCGATACTGGTGCGTGCTATCAGCCCCGTTCAGCCAGGAGTTCGGCCTCTCTACTGGCAGAGGTACCCGATACTTCCCCCATCTACCGGAGGCACTGGAAACTACTTGGGCGGGGAAACTTTTTACCTAATTTTGCTCAGAGGTCTCCTAGAGACATGAGGATTTTTACGTGCCGTAAATCTACGACACGGGACCCACGGCTTAAAGTCACTCCCGGAGGACTTGTTCCCTGAATTTTTCCGCCCTCCGCCGGGTTTGAACCCACGTACCTTGAGTCATTAGGTGGGAACGTTACCCTAGACTACGGAGGCCGCTTACCCCAGGGCCATAGTGCGGCTGGAAGGATTAGGTCAATTGAAAAAAATCCAGTGACCTCATCGGGACTTGAACCCGCGACCTTCCGGCTTATAGCATAGTGCCGCAACCAAGCATACACTAAAATATACAGAATTATGATTTTATTTTTTTTTTGTTTCGTATGTTTGTGAAAATCAGTCTCTCATGTAGGAAAAATATAAAGTGAAAATGTAGGATTAAGTTCTCAAAGCGGAAGTTGTGAAGAGTTTTGTCTTCTGGAATATAGCGTTGCTGAAAGTCAACAGACGTTTCAAAGGAACATGTCGCCTCCATCTTCAAGGTCGAATAAGCCGAGCAAACACCAGCGTGAAGGCAGGTGGCAAGCCGAGACCGGAGAGTCTGTTTCGGAGGAACATATCTCCTCCATCTTCAAGGTCGAATAAACCGAGCAAGATACCAGCGTGAAGGCAGGTGGCAAGCCACCGCTGTGGGAATTTCAAGAGCTGCATAACCTATGTCGCTTGAAGAAACTATTTGTTGATACGATGATATGAATAGTAAATGAGATATTGTGGAGCAGCTTCATCGTTAAGCTTAGCTGTATTATGGTCCTCTTGCATGTAACGCCGGTTACTCTGGTAAATAAGCACCAAGGTTTCGGATAAAAGTGTTGCTTCCATGTCCTAGAGATGGAGGCAGCGGATTCCTTCCAAAAGTTTGTGCCGATCTACCAAATTACACGACGTCACGTGCCGAAAGACCGAAATCGTAATAAGAATATTGAGTTAAACGCAGTTTTTCAAGTGTTTTCAAGGTATTTCAGAGTCTCGGTACATTGATATGTTTTAGTATTCCGTAAGTGATCTTCATGTCGATGTGTCAGCCTAGGTTTATATTTCATCACTGTATAAAATCTGGCATTGGTGACACTTGTAATTCTTATATGATTTCTTCGTTTTATTTAGAATCGAAAATGGCGTTAAGATGATGCCGCTCTCTTGAGATGAAACCGAACTTGCTCCAATTTTCTCTCAACCGTCTTTAATTTCCTTGCATAGCGCTTTTCTTTGTAAATTCGAATTTTCATAGTCTTCGAATGAATGGCGATTCCAAAACAATTTTAGTGGACAACATTACGAAACTAGGGATTTTGCTGTTCGTTTTTTTGGGGGGGGGATGAGGGATTCTAATTGTACTTAACCAGCTTTACAAGCGTATATGGCCTTCTAAGGTGATAATTGGCCGGTCACGGTAGCCGAGCGGTCTAAGGCATGTACGGTCTTCGCTCGCTTGGAAACCGGGATCGTGGGTTCGAATCCCCCTCAGGGCATGGATGTTTAGTTTGTGTGTGTCAGTCCATGCTTTGCAAAGCCGATCATGTCTAGCTTATTTATCTAATGCTACAATGGCATCTTACTTACTTGAAAGGTCGTAAGCATGACTGCCGACAAGTTTAACTCTCTTATGTTTTCTACGTCTGGCTTCGCCTTGTCCTATGCTGATTTACGTGCAGTAAGCTGTATATGGATCTTATAGTGAACCTGTAGGAGAAAAGTGTAACCTATTTCGATTAGTATTAGTTTTCTTGGCCGGTCACGGTAGCCGAGCGGTCTAAGGCATGTACTGTCTTCGCTCGCTTGGAAACCGGGATCGTGGGTTCGAATCCAACTCAGGGCATGGATGTTTAGTTTGCGCGTGTGCGTTTTTCTGTGTTTGTGCACAGATAGAGGCCTTGTGACGAGCTGATCACCCGCCCAAGGAGTCCTACCGAATGTGTAAGATCTAAAAAACTGAAGTGAACGGAGAAGTTCATGGAGGTAGGCCTAGACCCACTGGGGCTGTAGTGTCAAGAAGTTCATTAAAGAAAAAAAATAAGGATGCTTGATTGGCCTGGTAGTTCTCCAGACTTGAACCCAGCCGAAAACATGGAGGAGCGTACACAAGAAAGACCTGAGTAAAATGGACTGTTCAATTGAAGAACTCGTGGTAACGAACGTGATAAAAGTGTGGTTCAGCGGCAGTGAGTGGAAACTATTTCCTCTAAACTGGTTTAGTTAATGCCAAAACGTCTCCAGGATGTCATTTTAGCGAAAGGGGGACATATTTCTTACTAAAATTATGTGAGAGAATTGTATTTGAAGGTTCAGAATAAATAAATGTCCAAAATTAAAGTTTTTGTTTTACTTTTTTCATTTTGTCCCAATTAATTTGCACAATATTGCATAAGATACTTATGGTCCCAGAATTTTGCTACAGAAAATGAGGAATGCCACGAATATTCTCAGTGAGTACAGCTGGTAGGTTGAGTCGAAATTTGCACGTATTTCAAGACTTCTGAATACACAGCTGGGTACAACCCACTACGCTGTGACGGTCAGTGTTAAAAAAAGAGTTGAAGAACAATGTGTGTCTAGCTAGCCTCTAATCTCGATACAGTCGAGACAGTAACAGGTCTCGAAACCGTGCATTGGACAAAGACAGCGTCGCGAGACGGCGTGTCGGGTTAGGTTCGCCGCAGGAAGATCTGTTGTGGGGAGTTCCCTTTACTATGCTCCATTCAAGAAACGTAACCTTAGCGATGACGATACCCAATCACCTTTAATCCAATAGAAAAGATAAAGAGATATCAGCAAGTGGTGATAGAATAACGGAAGCTCCGTGATTGGTTGCACCGTGTATCGATTGCATCAGCTGTGACGTAACGGAGTGAACGGAGGGAGGCTGTTGGACTGCAGCCATCCAGCTCAGTAGTTCACTAGCGGTTACACGTGCGAGGGAGCAGCATGAACGGTACAGCTGACAGGGCGGACAGGGCAATGGAGTCCCCTAGGAAGGCACCCCCTGCTCAACTACGGTCCGTGTCATGGAACGAGGACGTCGGGGACAGTGAGCTGGACGTTCCTGGAACACCCCGCACTCCGCGCACCTCCACTACCCCAGGTAAACAATTAACCTTGACCTATACCACATCCATTCCCCCCAAGAAGTGACCACGAGGAGTAATTATAAGTTCCAGACATATGTCACTAATCTGTGTTGCTAAAGATGTTCATGGTTCATCGACCGATTAATTAGTTATTAAACCGATTTACGTATTTCATTAAATACGATGTGCACATTTTACACAAGAAATTGGTATTATAAATGGTAAGTTTTCTTTATTCCTTTGAAATAATTATAGTCCCCATTCTCTTATTGCCGGTCACGGTAGCCGAGCGGTCTAAGGCATGCACTGTCTCCGCTCGCTCGGAACCCGGGATCGTGGGTTCGAATCCCACTCAGGGCATGGATGTTTGTGCGCGTTTTTCTGTGTTTGTGTACAGGTAGAGGCCTTGCGACGAGCTGATCACTCGCCCAAGGAGTCCTACCGTATGTGTAAGATCTAGTAAACCGAAGTGAAACGGAGAGTTTCATGGAGGTAGGCCTAGGCCCAAATTGGGGCTGTAGCGCCACAGAAAAAAAATCTCTTATTAGTAAATTCTTACTAACTTCTGCGGGTGGTTCCAGAAGCCTTCCTCGTATCATAAATTTTCAGAGTATCCAGTATTTCAAACTTAACGGTGTTTGTTTCCGAGATGAGAGAAAATATTTTAATGAAGAGAGAGAGAGAGTGTGTAATGCTTCCTGCTTATGCATTTAGTGTTTAGTTTTTAATTTGTTGATGCATTTCATTCATTAAACTTGTTAACACAGTTGCAGAGACATAGACTTATAAATTAAGTTAACTAAACCAGTAAATCTGTTCTTCAACCATCGGTGATTCTAATTTGATAAGCTTTGATTTATGTTACGTAAGGTGGTTAAGTGGGATGGAGCACTACTGAATTATTCTGAGTCACTGATAGGATAGAAGAATAAGAGCAACTGCTATGAGACAATATTAAGTTTGTGAAGTGAGGAGAAGAGTGAAGAGTGGAGAGAAAAAACAGTCCTGTGTCCTGTTGTATATTTAGGGGCGTTTTCAGTACCGACACCATACAGAGTCGGTTGTTACGGTGACAGAGGAATGATGACGTGAAAAGGATTTGAATGGAAGCAATAGTAACCTAACTGAAGTCCTGTCCCGGCATTTACGTGGAGGAACTGAGGAAAATCACGAAGAACTTAAGTCGGGATAGTCGGTGTCCGGGCCGAGATTCGAACCGAGTATCTCTTGAGTTGGAGTCTAGAGTGTTACCTCTAGACCAGCCTGTTCGGTCGTAGCCGTGAATTACAAGGGACTTTGATATATTAACAAAATTTATTTTGGGGAGCATTTTAATGTGAAAACTGGAAACTGGGATTAATAAATTAGAAGAATATTTTAAAAATTAAAAAAATATATATCAGTGGTACAGTAGGTTCAGTAATGTTGTCTAAGAAAGAAACGAGAATAACAGGTGATGGGTTGACAGACGGACATTCGAATCTGCAAGCACTCCATCCCGTATATTTCTCATATTTTGCTCTTAGGCTGTGGGAATTACAGCAATTTGATAGTTGCTGAATATTTCATTTTAGGCGTCCCATGCAATATCTGTGGGTAACCTTTGCTGTTCTGTGTCTGTGTGTGCTTCAGTTGGTAGCAGCTGCTTGTAGGAGCAGAAGGTGGGAGCAATAAAATAATATTGTGCTTCAGTCTGTATTGAAATATTCACCTTTGCTCCAAACGGAAAAGTCGCAGTGCTAACTTAGATTTCACCGTCTCTTAGTGTATGTTACTATTCTATTAAGTTTAGTATCTTAACAAAAATGTCAAGTTATGTAAATTCTTTTCCCACTAGTATTTATGCCGCAGGTTCAATAACGGTATTGATAACTATTATAAACTCCCGCTAAAATATCAACGGCTTGTATGTTATTTCTGCGTATGTTTAGTACTTTAGAAAGTAAAGAAATGATAAAGAATTGGGACATTCATGAGAGCAAGGTCACCAGTTAACGCCATCAAATCACATATTCTGTTGCATGAAATTACCGTCTTGTTCAAGACAAATATTGCGTCAGTTACAATCAGATGATATTTCACTGATCATGTCCTTGTGGGTTATGCACCACGCCATTAGGACTTAGGAAGGAATGCAGATATAAATTCAGGCATTCTTACATCAGCATTAGATGGAGATGAGTGGTCAGCTTCATGCTCAGGCTGTTTTAAACCTAGAGAAGATTCCTGGTCATGGATAGGATCCAGCGTAGGTGTGCTAAGAAATCCAAACAGCACTCCCCTCGCCTCATTACGAATTTTACACATATCTTCGGCCTTCGGAATTTAGCTGTGACGTATGTTGAGGTTGTTCCAAAACCTCGACGTACATTGTAGTCGTCACCACCTGAGTGAGTGTGTCATGTAGCGTAGCTACAGCATGCGTCTGAACTTCGAAGACCGAAGTTACACATTACAGAGGCGAAGAAAATGTAAAGACGAAAGCATTGACAGATGACATGAGACTAATGTCATAACCCTGGACGCCCTTGACGACTTTGCGTTATATACTTCAGGCTGGAGATAACGTTACAGAAGCTGTTAGCGTTTTGAGAATGTAACGTGAAGACAAACATCCGAGGCGCCTGTACCAGGTTTTCTTGAAGTGCCGAAAACTTAATTGTAAGTCTTAAGTAAGCCTCAAAGTCTGAAAATACGTGCCTTTTCTGCGAGATTTTGGGTTCCTTCGGTGCTGGGTTCTGCAATGTGACAACGTGAAATCTGCTGTCTCCATCTTCACCCTGAAGAAGCCAGTAAGTTCCTTTAACTCTTCAGAGCATGAGGTTCAACTAAATGTTTAAAATTCAGTTCTTACCCTACAGAGAACGTAATTCTTCTCAACATGAGAGCCAAGTCGGTTAATGGAGTTACGGAAATAAAGATAAAGTTGTCCCTGTGCCTAACTAATTAAGTACTACGCAATGAAGGCGTATGGGGGAGTGGATATATAAATCATTTTCTTGACCTCGACAATAGTAGGAAGTGTCAGCTTCACGCCCCAGCCGCTTTACCCCCCGGGAAAGAGCCCTCACTACCCACTGTATGGGAGGTTGGGTGGACCCCAGAGCCAGTCTGGACGACATGATGGAGAAGTGAAAATTCCTGACCCTACCGGGACTCGAACTCCGACCTCTGGTTGTCCAGCCCGTAGGCAGTCGCTATACCGACTACGCTATTTCGGCTCCTAGTTAGGGAGATAATCGTTACTTGTTCTGAAAATCAGTTAATTTAGGTGGCATCCCTGTGTTTTAAAACATTAAATAGACAACACTTGTTCTGTATCCTGTGCCACAGAATTTTAAACTCTTATAATGATCATGTTGCCTCATTCGACGTGCCTTATGACCATATTTCATAATACTGTGACAATTACATTAATTTCAAAAGCCACATTCTGATCGGTAAGACGCTGTCCACTCGACCCTTGCCAGCAATCTTAAAACGTAGAATAAAAGTCTGTCATTATATGAGTCAGTTGAACACGGGAGTAGAACTTCTGGATCACTGCGCATGATGAGTGTGCTGTACACAGTGGACAGTATCCAGAATGCTATTAGTATAATCGAAACTAGTTGTTATTTCAGCGTTGTTGCCTAACAAAATTTTGTGTGTCTGCAAGAACCTATCGAATCGTTTGGAGCTGGAAGGTAAATTACGCAAGTATTGTAGACTGCCTGTTCTGGTGAGGGTTATCAAGTGGATGCATTGTTGTGCCTATTGAGAGATGTGACGAGGCCGATTCACTCCGTCGTTTTACAGAACTTCAGAAACTCCCTTCTCCTGTTGGTTGATATTTTGGGATTTTACTTGGAATGCTGTCATAGCTTATCCTATCAAAATATGCCTTCCAATTCCTTCTGTTATTTCTGGAATTTGTACTTATCTTATTATTTCTTTATTTATTTTGTGCCCCGCAGCCCTCGTCATGAAAAGCATTTCTTCTGATACCAGTCTACTTTCATCAGGTCTAATTATCCATGATTTACTACTATTAAATGATGTTGGTTTAGAAGGTGTGCAACGTTAATATTGGTTGTCAATTAATCAAAGAACAGCTATGGGACATACTAATTCTCCTGGAGTATGAAGATTTGGGAATTTTTTCTCCCTGGATAAAGTAACCGGAGCGTAACACTAATCACTCACTCTCCACTCTAATGCGAAGTTAATTATTGTGGGCTTTTCTTTCACTATGCCTATATATCTGTATAGAGTGGAGAACTTCGCACCTTTACCTTATCTGTGTATTGAAGGAAATAACCTTGGACTGTGTAGGCAGAGGCTCAGTAAATCTTGAACGATGGCGTTTGGCGAATCAGATTTCCCCCCATGGAGAATGAACTCGACCAAACTACAATAGCCGTGCCGTCATAACCAACTGATGCCCCCAGCTTCTAGTGTCTTCCGAGTGTGCATTTGTGTCACATTTCTATAGCCCCTGTTCTAGCTATAGGCGTAGTCTATATTTAAACTTCTCATATGTAAAAAATTTACAATATTTGTACATCTACACAGCTCTTTGTTGCACTATGGCCACTTTTCAGTTTTTTGGTCTTTTACACAGTCAGTAGTACTCCTTTGACGGGGGATCAGCCTGTCGAAAGGTCGCTTCTTATACAAAGGACAGCACAAACACAGAATAGACGCACACAGACATCTGTGCCCCAAGTAGCATTCGAACCCAAGATCCCATTGTTTGAGCCGGCGAAGACAGTTCTCACTTAGATTGTGAGCTCACTGTGATCAGCATGTACTAAAAGGTACATGGGGCCGCGGAGGAAAAGCTTCACGCATTCTTAAGATTTTAAAGAACGAAGACGGCCTGAATAACATTTAAGAGTTTTAGTTCTTGTCTAAAAAAATCATTTGTATTATGAAGTTTATTCGACTGATGGCGTTCAGTACAGTTACCGATATTTCTGAGAACCGATTGAATTTAACAAGTACTCTTTCTCGGCCAAATATCGAATTATTTGACATTAAACTAAGTGTCATGTCATTATTAAAAAGGTAACGCTATCCCTGTAATAGGCCGTGAAGATCCATAGGGTTGTGAGACGTCGAGGCTCCCATATTTTCTATACAATCGGCTCACAGATGGCGGTAAGGTTGTCAGCCTTACACGCCGGCCGCCCTTTACTCCCAGGAAGATTCCTGGTACTCATTTCTGTTAAAGGCTGGGTCGAACCCAGGGCCATTGCGAGACTGGAAGAATTAGGTCAATTGAAGAATCCAATGGGATCGGGAAATGAACCCGTGACATCCCGCATGAAACCAGCTACTCTACCGCCCACTAAAGGATTCACTTCGGAATTAGACGTGAGTGTTCAGTTTCACATTCCTACGGCTTTACTTCCAAAGAAAGAGCCCTTGATGTACGTTGATGGAACCCACACTGAAGATGGGAGCAAAGAGAGAATTCCCACTGCCTCAAATGGAATCCAGATTCTCATCCTGATGTAGGTTTCGTCCAATCCGTGAACTGTACTATCCCGCTCCTGTGACCAGTAGACACTACCAGCTTCATTATTGTGTGTTGGAACAATTTTCCGTTTTTCGCCCGTGACACGGTAGCTTTCCTTGTCAATACTACAGTTTATATTCGAAGTAGTTAACACTTTAAAGAAGAAATAACACTCAAATTAAGACACTGAAATTTATCCATGCAATTTAAAAGAAATTTTGGGACTGAAGACTCAAATCATGGCTAGAAATTACCGCATTATTTGCACAAATCTTTAACAGCCGTAGAAAGTGGGTTCGAGTAGCAGCCAGAAATTTAAGCAACACTTGCACACAGATTTAACAGCCTTAGGGGTTGTAAGCCATGCATTCTGACAAGGGAACGGAGTAAATTTATAATACGTACTTCTGTGTGTTCTGTATTACCGCTACGGTATGAAGCAGGAAACAGAGATGCTAGAATCACACACATTACTTTTATATATATACTATATTATTAAATTTCGGGTTTCATAAATTACTAGGAATTTTTTGACTAGCTGAGGGACTGCTGGTTTTTAAAGACAGAGACTGATATGTAGTTTTAGTTATTTAGTTAGTTTTTCAATAGTAAGTAGTTTCGAAATAATAACAGATATATATAATTATCGCCTCTGAGGTCTAGTGGTCAGAGTTCCTGGCTACAGATCCAGAGGTCCCGAGTTAGATTCCCGGCGCTACCACATTTTCTGAGAAGTAGTGGCTCTGGAACGGGATCCACTCAGCCTCGTGAGGAAAACTGAGGAGCTATTTGAAGGAAATAGCGGCTCCGGTCTAGAAAACCGAGATTAACGGCCGTGGGGATCCGTTGCGCTGACCACGTGACACCCTCTATCCGCAAAAGTTAGCACTAACTTCACCAACAAGTGGCGGTCGCTCGGTCGGTATAGTTCGCTTGCGCGGACTATAGGCCACGGAGTTTGTATAGATCTGATAATCCCCCCCCCCGTATATGTACGTGGTATTTACTACAACGGGAGCTTAGGCGACCTGAAAAACGTTTAAAAAGTTGTGTAATAGTTTTCCCACCTTGTGGTCTTCTGGATTATGACACCATGCAGTCTGGCAGGTGGTTATAGACATTTGAGAAAACTCATCTTCGTAACAAGAGAGATCCATGGTGGGAATGTGGCTTATTATACAAGATAAGTGGGAAGGACTAAGGGCCCACTGGACTTCCTATCTGAGAGTGAGCTCCTGTCCGATATTTAAAGCGGCCTGAACGGGAACTTGTCACTCATTTCAATGTAGGCCCAATATGTGAATGCATAGAACTGCAATTCTACTATATACGCCTGCATGGCACGGTGATGAGACGCAGTGACATTACTTGCAATCACGAGTGAAATATTAAAATGATTCGATTGACTTTCACCATTTCCTTCAACTTCGTTATAGTAAATTCAGAGAGCTAGCAGAATTTTCTAAAGCTGGGTATCGATTGCGCGAGACAATGTTCGTTGCTTTGCCTCGCAAAGTCGATACCATGTTGCCGTGCTCTGCAGAACGAACACTGCCGAGCGCGAACTTGGCGCGTGTCGAGCCAAATCGTAGCGGTTCTTTGTCCCGCGGCAAAAGGACTTCAGTGTGTTGTGTTCTTTCAGTTGAGACGGTCTTGTGGCGTTCCGTGTTTCTTTCGCGGCACAGGAACAACGTCGATCAACAGCCGCACGCGGCTGCCGCGCTTCGATGCTGGACATAAACACCGTGAACTAACTAAAGAATTTTCCGCTCACGAACAGCTGCGCGCGGCAGCAGCGCGCATTCGATGCACGGCAAAAGTAAAGAAACTGTACGTTCTTCCGTTGGAAATCTTCTTTACCAGATGTCATACTCGAAGAATTCCTCCTCCTCAGCATTTCTGCTTTAGATTCGGAGACAATTTAGGATGTAATTCGGAAAATTATTAGCTGTGTGTTCGCTCGGTCGGTACAGTTCGCTTGTGGACTACAGGCCACGAAGTTTGTTGTTGTTTCATGTGTTCCCAATGCAGTGTGGACATTGCGGCCAAATGCGGAGCTTCTTTCAAATTATATGTTTTCAGTTGGTTCGGAAAGGAAGTTACCCCTGTCAGGCGATGTACAAAGAGCCCCCAGTATATTTTGAAATACATGATCATACTAACACTTCATGTCAGGGGGAAACCACTTTAACGTCATATTCCTTAATTCCTTATCATAGAAAATAGCTCATCGGTCGTACGAACTTAACGACATGTGAACAACCCTGGCAGTATTGGATATATTTGGTACTATAATTCAAAACGCAAAATATATATGTAATTTTTGTTAAGGTCATTTGTAAGTAAATTAAAGAAAATCGTAAATAGTGATTATATTGATCATTTTCCTTCAAATGCTTCAGTCAATCTTTTACACTAGGAAGTAGTTATAAATGTTGATTTATGTCTTTGCATATGTCCTATTTGTCTGTCTGTCTGTTGCTCTCACTTGGAGCATAGGACATCCATGAAACGCTTGGTTTCACTTCAGTTTCTTATTCTTAGACATTCGGTAAGATTCCTTGGACGGTGGATCAGCCCAACGCAAGTTTGCTACCTATACAGAACAACACAAACACAGAATAAATGCAGACAAACATTCATGCCTTGAGTGGGGTTCGAACCCACAATCCCAGTGTTCGAGCGGGCGAAGACCGCGCGGCCACTGTGATCGGCACTTCTTCAGTCAGTAGGACGTAAAAATTCTGAATAACCTTGAATTCGTCACATAATTAAAAGATTTACACCGCCGTATTTTCTGTAATTGGTAAAATTGCGTTTCATATAGATTATAACGCATCCTTCCGGTGCGAATTATTGAAGTTATATCCTAAAATTTTAATTAGGACAGGTTCTGCACTTTAAGTAATGAGTATTTTTTTCTTCATAAAAACGAAATAAAATATCTGTAAAAATTGAAGGTATTCCTCTGCATAATTAATTGAGCGTTATACCTTGGACACATGTATGGGAGTGGAGGTGTAGCTCCACTATTGTTGACCTCGGCACTAGTCCGAGATGAATGGTCAACTTCACTCACCGGCTGCCCTAATCCGGGTAAAGACCTCCCCCAGTGCCCAATTAATAGGAAGCTGAGTGGGCCCCAGAGCCGGTCTGGAAAGTGTTGAAAATACAAAACTCATGTCTCTGCCTGGAATCGAACCCCGGCCGTCCAGCCCAAGACCCCTGTCTATACCGACGAGCTGTCTTTACTCAATGTATCTGTAGCTAATAATAAAAGTAATAGGCTTGTAGGATCGGATACATTTGTGCAGTAGGAAAGTATGCTTTACAAACTATTCGTCTCAGAATACTCTAATATTTGCACAGGTCACGAGAAATGCACGTTCCACCATGACCTGGAGCTGGACCATCGACCGCCCACCCGAGAGGCCCTCCTGCCCGACATGTCTCGAGCCTACCGCTTGTTACTCTCCTCTCTCGGCGAGAACCCCGACCGGCAGGGACTGCTCAAGACACCCGAGCGGGCCGCTAAGGCTATGCTCTTCTTCACCAAAGGATATGACCAAAGCCTCGAAGGTGAGTCACTTAACTCGAGTAAATATTTTCCGAGGGAGTGGGATGAGGGGTTCTTCTGGTTTCTGACATCGTTTTTTTTGTGCTGAGGATATGAAGTCTGTATATCCCCCCGAAACGTCGGAAACCTTTTCCTCTGCTGCTGTGTATGAACCGGAAGAAGGAACTAGAAAATTGTACATTTATCGCCTGAGAATGTGAAATATATTTTGATTGTTCTGATCTGTTTCACCCACCTAATGGCTTTGCAGTTCAGATCGAATCAGTACCTCAACTGTGGTATTCTGTCAGTCGTAGGCGATGGTTAGAGGTTCTGGACTGCCATGAGCCACAAGCCTGCATCAGGTGGGAAAGAATTTAGGGATTATATAATAATTCACTAATTATAAAACAAAAAGGGAGTGTAGAGGTATTCGTAGTGCGTGAAAATATTACATCGTCATTTACTGAGAAAGAAAGTAAAATTACACGAAAAATTTATTAGAGTATATGCACCTCCCGAGATTTGAACGTGGTACTTCTGGAATAACATACGAGTATGCTGATGAGTGGGTTTTTAATTACTCGTCAACTTATTTGTGGTTTATGTAACGGCCGTTTCAGGTCGCGGCTCAGAGTATAGCCTAAGTGCAAGAAAGCGACAGTGACATAATTTGAGTTATTATTCCCTCCTCTCCATAGAGTGACTAAGGAACACCATGACAATCTGTAGCATGGCCGTGTCCGAGCCGAGATCTGAACTCGAGATTTCCGGAATTCGAAGGAGTTTTTTCCATTTGACTGGACACCCAGTACTCGTGTAATTTTTTAGGAAGAAATTGGTTTATTATATTTCGGCCTTCCTTGTTTTCCTTCATCATAGTTTTACACGAGCTTAGGCTTCCTGTCAGCTACGCACACGCCTATTTAACAAGACAACTGAGGAAACGTGCGCGTAGCGTAACAACATTGGAGCTCTGATTCGCTTTTGTTTAACTGTTTCGCAAATCGTAAACCATACGAAAATGAGTATTGGATATAAAATATGTTTAATTTTTCTCCAGTAAATATTTAGAGGGTTACATACGAATTACGAAATGCACGTAGATCTTCACGCAAGATGTCTTTAATATCCTGTTTTAATATAAATCAGAATGTATCAATAAATTGGCTGAGGCGCTATGCTACAAGGCGGATGGTCATGGGTTCGATTCCCACTGAGGCCATAGGATTTTTTTTTCAGTTTACCAAATCCTTCCAGCCGCACTATGGCCCTGGGGTCGACTCAGCCTCTAACAGCAATCAGTACCAAGAATCTTCTTGGGGCTACAGGGCGGCCTGTGCATAAAGCTGACAACCTTACCTCCATCTGTGAGCCAATCGACTAGAAAATGTGAGAGCCTCGACGTCTCACACCCCTATGGACTTCCACGGCCTGTTACAGGGATAGCTTTAACTTAACTTAGTATAAAGTTTTACGAGTTGTCGAGTTATGACATGTGCATAGTCTGACATACATAGTGGAACTAATAGACCCACCTTTGCAAATTGCAATCTGAAAGATTATTAACACTTTTAAAGACTGGATTTCTTAATATAATACTGTCACGTTTTGCGGGTGTTACTATAGACAGGGTATGGATTGGGTGAATTGGATTTATTGACCACTTGTATACACCACTCGGAACTACAAGCAATCGTAACAGTTTTGCTTATTTCCTCACTACAAATAACTCTGCGCTAAGTCTTCTCAGTAAGCTTTCATTAGTCTATGCTTGGTAATAGATCTCAGCAATCGTGGTCACTCCGTTGCCCGCTGGTTAACACTTCACAACTGACTCATAGCGCCATCTTCTCAGCCTCCCTTGTAGAGCTAAACTCTCGGCTAACGCTCACTGGGTAACACTTCACAACTGACTCATAGCGCCATCTCCTCAGCCTCCCTTGTAGAGCTAAACTCTCGGCTAACGCTCACTTGGACCTCCGAAAACCGACTGACGATTCTCAACTGAACTCTTCTTTGTAACCACTTTGCACGGATCGAATAGAAGACACCGTTTCCAACATTACTGTTGGCGTGTTTACCGATCCGTTGCTTACAGACGGGTTGTATAAGCCCGTTCTATTGATGCGTGCACGTATGTTGCAGGCGTTACTTAGCAACGGCCACAGTTTACACAGTCAGCGCTTAGCAACGGGTCTATACAGCGCCATAGCTCAAGCGGTTAGTTGCTGGCTTCCCACCGCGGCGGCCCAGTTCGATCCCGGGTCTGGTCAAGTGGGATTTGTGGTGGACAAAGTGGCGCTGGGGCAGGTTTTCTCCGAGTACTTCTGTTTCCCCTGCTAATCTTCATTCCACCAATTGCTCCAAAATCACCCGCACCTATCATCTGGGGCTGGTACAATAGGCCAGAAGTGGCCGCAGTACAAGGGACTTAGTCCCACCCCACTAGCAATAAAAAAACGGATCTATACGCCACAATATATAAGAATTCAGTTCATACCTCACTGGAAACGCGTTACTTCTCTGCTTCAAAGTCCAGCTCTTGGTGCTTTTTAGAGAAATAATCGCTGTTTGTTGTGAGAACCATACGGAACACAGAAACACACTCTGCCGGCAGGCGGTAGATATAGTTCCACTGGTTTTTAAAGAACTAAAGCTGAAACGCTACTGCTGCAGAACAGTTGTCATCACTGTGTCCAAGATTACAGAGAACATAGAAACACATGTTCTCTACGCAGTTCTGCTTTTCTGATTCATCCTATGGCTTTGCCATCTATGCTTCAGTTGTGAGATAGGCCCATCTGAAGGTCTCTGAAGACACAGAATAATTATTAACTCAGACACTCGATGGAGCAGGGTCCTTCTCGAGACGCTGATAGTCAGTAAGCTGGTCGATATATTCCACTATAATCCAGTCCACATTTTCATATATCATCTACTTTAAGTCCCATTTTAATATTCCCTCAAACTTATGGCCATGTTTTCCAAGAGATCTTTGATCTTTATATTTACGAGGGCTATTCGTAAAGTAACTTCCGTTTATTTTAGGCAACTCGCGCATGCGAGCTAGCGTCACATGATTCATTGTCATGTAAACCATCATATAACTGGTCACCTAGTGCTTGTTCTTGTCTCTACAGAGTGAGTTATAATGTTCTCTGCTATTGACAATCTCGCCAGCTGCGAAATTCGCGATGTTATCCGCTTTCCTCAAGCTAATAACACGAGAGCTGCGGAAATCCAGCGTGAATCATTCGTGGTTTACGGCCAAAGTGTAATGAGTGAAGGAAATGTAAGACAATGGTGTAGAATGTTCGGAGATGGGCGATCAAATGAACAGATGTCCACGATGAAGAGCGAAGTGATCAACCACCTGTAGTGAGTGACGATCTTGTTCAAAGTTTTGACCAGAAAGCTTTTTGAAAGACGGCGTTTACAATTTCAGAACTTTCGCGTGACTTTTCACAAATTTTTTCTCATTGTTCTCTACAGGATTATTACAATTAGGCTACGCTGCCACAAGTTTTACTCAATATGTGTTCCGAAAATAATCACGGGTGGGCACAAAATGCAGAGAATGGCTTCGGCTTTGAATTTTTTAGAGCAATACCACAAATATGGCGACCAATTTCTCAATCAAATCGTACGAGTTACAGGTGATGAAACCTGGGCTTCATTTGTGAATGTTGAAACCAAAAGCAGACAGAACAGTGGATGCGCACACATTCGCCAAGGAAGAAAGAAGTTTAAATAAACGTTAACCTGCTTCCAGGAAGCTGATGGCAGCTGTTTTCTAGGGCAGGAAAGGAGAGTTGATGGTGGAATTCATGAAACGTACCACAGTAACGTCACAAGTATATTGCGAAACACTAAAACAACTGCGCTGGGCCATTCAGAAAGCCTGTGTACGCGTTGTGCTCCTCCATGACAAGGCGCGTCCGTATACAGCTGCTTCCACTCGAGCACTGCTGGAGCATTTCAACTTGCAGTTGTTTGACCACCTTCCTTACAGCCCTGATCTCGCTCCTAGCGACTACAACCTCTTTACTCATACCTCCCTGAATATCTGGCTGGGATCACAGCGCTTCAGCAGTAATGAGGAGTTGATGGAAAGTGTCAAAACGGGCCGAGCTCACTGGCGGCAGACTTCTTTGATACACTCACTCACTCATGGAGCTGAGCCCTTCTTGAGAAGCCGCGAATTATGCAGCCACTCAAGAACTTCCAGAATTTTATGAAACCCGAAGTTCATAAGAGCCCTCCACAGGTCCCTATCCTGAGCCAGATCAACCCAATCTATCCCATCCTATTTCTCTAAGATTCATTTTTATATTTTACACCCACCTACGTCTTGGTCTTCCCGGTGGTCTCTTTCCTTCTGGCTTTCCCACCAATATCCTATACGCATTCCTCTTCTCCACGTGCATGCTACATACCCTACTCATCTCATCCTCCTTGATAATTCTAATTATACTTGACGAAGAGTACAAGATATAAAGCTCCTCATTATGAAAGTTTTCTCCAACTTTCTGTCACTTCATCTCTCTTCTATCCAAATATTCTCTTCAGCACCCTGTTCTCAAACACCCTCAGTCTATGTTACTCCCTTAAAGTCAGGGACCAAGTTTCACACCCATACAGAGCCACAGGCAACATTACAGTGTTTTATATTCTAATTTTTATGTTTTTAGACAGCAGACGAGAAGACAAATATCCTGGGCTGAATGGTAGCAAGCATTACCAGAATCCAATCTCCAATTTCCTGCTGAATCAGATTTTTATTGGTCATAGTGGTTCCCATTTCGGTAGTACGTATACTTCTGTGACACAGGAATGTAAAAACTTATTCCCCGATACGACATGTGCCTCAGTTCTGACGGTGACTATGCTGAGCAGTAGCTTCAGTATGTACGTATTTTTGTATTTAATAATTTGTTCTCGTTGCTTGCTATATCAAGAGCTCACCGGAGGTTACTTTCCAAACAGCCGTCGGACAAATTAAATGTCGTATGCATGCTTA